CATTCCTCTTCCCCTCCCACTTAGACACCTCACTCCCCCCTCCCCCCTGCCTGGCCCTGCCCCCTCCTCCTCTGTCCTCCTGATCTCCTCTTTCCTGTCTCCGCCTTCCTCTCTGCAGCCTCCCTATTACCCATAGGATGATATCATGTGCTCTTCCCAGGGAGAGCGTTTCCTTAGAGAAGTGGAATCAGTGGCCACTGGGGCAAGGATGTCAGTCCCCAGGTATCCTTCTGGTGCTTAGCATCTGAAATGGAGGTCTCTGCACAGTAGGCTGTATTTCCCCAACAGCAGCAGCAGATCAGAGGGGCCCAGAGAGGAACATTCTGGTCCCGACAGAGCTGTCCCTCCCCCTGACTCCTCCTCCCTGGCTGTTCCCCGAGCCAGCCCGTGGGTTGGCTTCTGCCCTTGGCCAGTCCTGCCTTTGGCTGCAGGAACTCCAGATAAGCCCTTGAATGAGTATGTCCTAGCAACACTCAGACTGTGGACTTCCTGCAGCTTCGGACCATTCTCGTCTGATCTAAGTGAGCTCTGGCACCCACACAAGAGCAGTGGGTGGCCCGGTGTATTCAGTCCCCGCTGCCCCCCGCCCCTCCCCGCATGTGGATGCCTCACCGGCCAGGAAGCAACTCCAGGAGCATTTGGTCCCCTCACATAGGGCTGCCTCACTGCCGTGACCCTGTAGGTCAGGCTCAGTCACCATTCACCCCCATCCTTCCTCGTGGGATTAGTTTTCTTTCTGTTTGAGTTTTTCCCTCTTGCTTGATGACTCTTGTTTATTTCTTTGCTTCCCTATAACTCTGTTGGGCTGGACTTTGGCCTCTCTTGCTTCTTCGTGTGGCTTCTCTGCTTCTTGGTTGGCTGGAGATCGTGGCCGGAGTGTCAGTGCCCCCGTGCTAGGTACTGTACCCCTTCCAGGTGAGGTGGGGAGTGAGATTCCCTTATTTCCCTCCGGCGACACCCTCCCTTTCCTGAACATTCAGCCAGGTCCCCCTCCTGCTTGTATTCCCGCATCTCCCTGGGGGAAAAGAGAGGAAGCTCCTTGCTGGAGTCACCCTGCAAGTTTTGGGACCCCAAACTCTTAGAATTTGAAGACATTCGCTCACCCAGATTTGAAACCTTAAGCTCGCTAACTCCCCAGAGAGAAAACCTGGAGTGTGCCTGAGCCCCTGCTGGTCTCTGAGATCTTGCTGTAAAGCTCTGTCCTAAAGGCAGAGCTGGGCAGACATCCTGACTCCCACTGAAGGGATGGCCCAGGCTCGGGGAGGTTTGCAGAGCTCATGTTCCTTCCTGTCATTCACATATCATGCCGTTCTTTCAATCTCAGGAGACACAGAAAGCGGTTGGGACGACACTGCTGTGGTCAGTGACCTCTCATCCATGTCATCGGGCACCGAGTCCAGCCCCCAGTCTCCCCTGACACCAGATGGTAAACGGAGCCCCAAAGGCATCAAGAAATTCTGGGGAAAGTAAGTCGGTGATGACCGTAATTATACTGATTGGAATTAATATTGTTTCCGAGTGGGCAAAACATCTCCATAACCCCCTGTATAATTAGATGCTGGAACAGCAGTAAGTACAGAGTGGTTATGTGTAGAGAGAAGACTTTGAATCACTTTTTAGGGCCCAGAGAAGGAGAACTATGAAAGGAGCCCATTAAATATAGCCAGTTGCCTTACGTGTCATTCATTTTAGGCATCCATCCATCCCACAGACCCTGAGCACATCCTCTGAAGCTTACATATGTGCTTTGGAGAGGTACATGGATGAGACCAGTTTCTTCCTCTGCAGGACTCAGTCTGTGTCTTAAGAAATCTTTGAAGACAGAAAGATGAGTCCTTTCTGGCCCTGCTGACCGAGTCTGTGAAATGAGGCAGAAACTGGGGCCTCCTCTCAGGCAGCAACCTGTACTTTGACCCCCGGGGAGGGGGGCCCAATCCCAGAGGCAGGGTTAGAATTGAGTCTGGGTCTGGCCAAGGAGCTGTCACAGGTCTTGATGCTGGACCTCTGGGGAAGCACCGGGAGGCAGGGGTTCCATCCCAGTGCCCCAGAGCCCCGGTTATGGCTCGTGAGGCCGTATGTGTGGGAGGCGTGCACTGACTACCGGCTTTCAGCCTGCCCTCTGACGTCTCCACGGATTCCTCTCCACACAGAATCCGAAGGACTCAGTCAGGAAATTTCAACACCGATGCCCCAGGGGTGACCGAGTTTCGACGAGGTGGACTCCGGGCAACTGCAGGGCCAAGACTCTCTAGGACCAGAGACCCCAAGGGTCAGAAAAGGTAAGCCTCCCTCCAGTCCATCTACAAGGAACTGTGTAAAATCCTGGCTACGCTGGAGTGCAGATGGGGGCTGGATGCCCCAGAGCCTCCAGAGATGGAAGGCAGGACCCCCTAGTGCAGAGCTTCTCGACCTTTCCCCTTTGACATGTGTGGACATTGCTCACGCTTATTTATAGGTGCACCGAGGTAAAGGCAGAGGCTGCCTATAGCCAGAGGTGCTGCGGCGGGAGGTGGCGCTCCGGCCCCCCTGAGAACCCCAGCAGCTCTGCACATCTGCAGTCCACTCTGGGCAGGGCCTTGGCGTGATAGGTTGAGAGGCTCCGCTGCAGCCATTCAGAGCACAGATGCTGGAGTGAGAGACCTGGGTTGGAATCTCTGCTTAACCACTTCCTAGCAGTGAGCCCTAAACCAGGTTCTGTAACTTCTCTACACCTCAGTTTCCTGATCTCTGAAGTGGGACGGGGGCGGGGTGTGTGTGTGTGTGTGTGTGTCGAAAACAAGTATTTGTGAAAGTTCTTGTGAGCATTATGTGAGCTCCTGCACATCTAACCCTGGTATCAGCTGTCTGCCGTTCAAGCGTCACCTTCCCCTGGGAGACTGGGGAGAGAGCAGCACCTGCCTCTGGGGCGGGGTCCCCTCCTTCCACACAGACCTCTACAGAAGGGTGCTGGGGTGCCAGTCTGCCCTTATCCCTCATGACGTGCTGTACCACACCTTCCTGAAGGCTTAACTGGAGGGAGTTGTAAAGGGATCAAAATGGGAAGTTTTGCATGACTGTTCCCATCACGCCCTAATGAAAAAGCATCAGTAATGAAACTTTCCCAGAGATCGCCCTGGTGGACCCCCTCCAGTCACCAGCTTTACCCCGCTTCCTCAGATCTCCCTGCTCTGAGGAGAGTGTCTCCCTTCCGACTTGCCCAAGTGAATCTTTACTCCTATGTCTTAGGGAAATCCTTTTCTGCACCCTCTGCTCCCATCAGATGATCCCCAAAATACATTGTCTCCAGCGGAATATCTCCTAAAGTCTGAGTTACTCAGCCAAGGTCAGGCTTCTGGGGGCCTTCCTCAGGATTGGACTGTGACATTTTAAATCTAACCAAACAGTGAAAAGTAAGATTTAACCCTCTTAAATTTCATCCCCCTAAGACTGCCATATACCAGAGCCAAGTGCAGGTAATTACTGAGTAAGATGTGCATGACTCACATGTTAATTCTAGAAACCGTACAGTCTAGATCCCAATGAAGGGGGAAGAATGTTTCCCTGGTGCAGCATATTGTTCACAGACCTGACCCCCGCCAAAGAAGGGAGCACACACGGATGCACCCTGCCTCCCCACTCAGCCCCCCTCAGGTCCCTAGGCTTGGCCAGGCACTCCCATGTACACGCTCAGGACCTTTGGTGAGCATCCCCAGATCCATCCTCCAGGTGCCTTACAGAGAAACCTGAGGATGCGCAGCCTCCTGGTTCTGCTCCCCCAGGATCGTGGAGTGGTGTTTACGCTTCTAGTCACAGAAAATGCTCAGTAAACGTTAGCTTTTAGAGGCTAGAGAATCTAAGCATATGGTCTGAGAAGGCAGAGACCAATTCAGAGACATTAGAAAATGAGCCAAAGGAAGCATATCCATGTAGTCCATGAAAAGAGAATTCTAATCTACTTGGTAATCTTCTGACCTTAGACGTGAGTGTTTCTGATGGTTCTGAGATGAAAAACTAAAGCCACCAGAGCTTGCATGATGAATTTTTGTTCCACTTCTGGCTTTTCTTTAGGAATGATTTTTTTTTTTTTTTTTTTTTTTTTTTGG